AAACATTTTTATTTTCCATTTTTATTTAGTTTTTTTCTAAAAATATCAATAAAGTCGCAGTTTTTCCTTATAATCATTTAAAGTTCAAAAATTGACAAAATACGTAAAAATGACGAAAATTTGCAAATTATTTCGAGTTAGAAATTCATAAAAATGTTTCTTTTTAAATCTAAGATATGAAAATGTAATACAAGATTCCTCATAAGTTTGTCTACCTTTATCAAAAAAAAATTGATTTATTATTCGAAGTCCAGCGAAAAATTTTACAAAAACAAACACAGGCCCGAGGCTCGGCCCGGAATAAAATTCCAAGACTTAAAAAACCTGGGTCCAACCCTTTATTTTATTTCAAAGGCCCGGCCCGATTAAATGTCACTACGGGCTGGGTTTTTTAAGGACCGGGTCGTGCCGGCCCGGCCCTTGCAGGTCTTTAGTACCTATACCTAATAATACATAAAATTATGACAATATTCTATAAATAACTATGCTTTTCTAGTTAACTTTTCAGTAGGTATTACAGTAAACAATATTGTATTTCAATAGATACAGTGTAGAATAATTTAAATATTTTATGTAGGTACCTGCAATCTGCATGTTTAGTTGTTTTATACCAAGGCAAGTAGTAGGTAAGTCTAATTACTTTGAATTGACCTATTACCATTTTTTCTTTTTTTTAATAACATATTTGTCTATAGTATCTATAGAAATAAAATAAGACATAAGTAGGTAATTAACTTAAGTTAACAGAATTGTTAATCAATAATCATAGTAAATTAAAATATTAAATGATTAATATTTATTATTTCTACAAAACTAAAAACACCTTATACAACTTTTAACACACATTTGTCATTCAGGGGACGCACTTTGATTTTCAGGGAAGTAGGGAACACAAAGTGTGTCAGGGAACACAGTATTTTAGCCCCTATTACCAACATTAAAACATAGGTATTATATATTTTTTGCTTTTTTATATGTTGTGCGTGGCCGCGTGGGTCGGATAGAGAAAACAAATAGTGAGCAGACATTCTCTAAATATAAAAAATGTTGCTGTAACAGAAACTGTGACAGCCGAGGTCGTAGCTCGTAGGTGTCTGTTTTTTGTTTCGGTTCCAAGTCCGTGGCACCAGGATAACAACTTTATAGTATTATAAGTGGATGTTTTTAAATTTGATTTTAATCTAGTCTTGAAGAAGTGGTATTTCCGCATATTATATAATTGATTATTCCTCTAATACAATAATACGTTACCTATTGAATTCCAACAAAAACCTAAATCAATTTTGTCAAGAACTGGTTAACGTAAAAAAAAGGGTTCTCCCCAATTATTTTGAAAAGAATATCCTACTGAGCGCTGGCTTCTATACGCGTCTAAACATAATACATTCAAGATTCTGTGCGGAGCAATATATGTAACAGGTATTATTGTAGTATTGTACCAATTGATTTTACAATGATGCGTGTATTTTTTAGTTGTTTTTGTTATTATATCTTTGAATTCAAATTTAACACCATTCATTACAGTGACCCTGCACTTGTAACCTACTGTACAGCAGAGTGACACACACTTGCCCGATTTTTTTTATTTGTGTCTGTCATAGTGTCATCACCTTTTGGGACAGTAAAAATGCTTCAATTTTCTTTAACAACATCTTTTAGCAGGAAAGTGAATCTTTGGGGGAACTCGTTTTCGTTTCGTATTCCCGTTCTTCTACATTTTTTTTACAATCTGAGCGGTTGTTAATGGTGTTTTTTTGAGAACAATTGATACGTAGTTAAATGAACCCATATTCTATAATATATTTTAGAAAATATCATTATTAAAAATAACATGTGTTTTATACTTGAATTTTTTTTTCATAATTTGAGGAATGGAAATTTTAGTTCAAGTTTTTTAAAAATAGGAACTCTTTCCCGTTCCTCGTTCCGATATTTTAAAAAGAACGCGTTCCAAGCTTCGTTCCTAAAAAATTAACACGTTCCTTCCCAATACTGCATGTGAGCTAGTTGAGTTTTTGGGCAGTTCAGCAAGAATGGTATCAATCATATTTTGGAGTGTTATCCAAAGAGGGAAGATGGAAAGTTGAGATGTTATGTTTTTTAGGTTGATATTATTATCATCGACGATTGCTAGTAGAAAAGTGTATGAATTTAAAGAAAGTAGCATTTTATCTCCGTCAAGTTTGGTAGTGAAGATCATTGAAATTTCTTGTCGTTTTATGTGAAGAGGCATTATTATGTTGGCTATGTTGAGTAGACCATAGGCACGATATTTTTTATAAATATTTAAAGTTCAAATTTTGATAACATTTATCAAAATCAAAATGTTCAAATAATATTGTAGTTAAAAATTATAAAATGTTCAATTTTTATAGCTAAGGATTGAAATTTAAAAACAACATTAACAGGTTCTCAAAATAATTAGTTCATACTTTAACCATAAAATCGAAAAAATAAATAAACATTATAAGTTTAAATTTGGTTGAAATTACATATTAAGGGGGCTCCAGTCGATGAAAAAAAAAAAATGACTTTAAGACTAAAAAGTCAGACAAAACTGGAGGAATTTGGCTAGACAGATTTTAATTTTGAAAATTGATTATAATTGATTAACAAGTTTACTAGATTTGAAAAGAGGCGATTTTAAATATTTCAATTATTGTTAGTGTCAATGAATAATATAAATTGAATACAAAAATATCACCACAGCTGGAAAAATAAACTGCCTCGACCGAATTCTAGAAAACTTGGTACCTAATCAATGAAAATCAGTTTTAATTATTGAAACCCGTCAAACCAAATTCCATCAGTTTTGTCTGGTTTTTTGGTCTAAAAACATTTTTAAATTGCAAAAAGTTTATCTAATTTAATATCATTGCCAAATGCCAATGCCTGCGTGTGCGTGTATGTAACTATGTAAATTAATTGACTGGCTACCTACATACTTATATACCACATTATATAGAAATCTGAGCCTACCTACCAGGTGGTATTATGCGGGGGCCTATCTACTGTTATAATTCAGGACATTACATTTTCTATGAAATATTGACCTAAAACGATTACAGATTAAACTAGTTTACTTTGTACACACAAGTAATTTTAATAGCACCATGTTAGATTGCCTATACTAGTTTCCTTAAAACAAGAGTATCAATAATATTTTGTTGTAATTTAAAAATATTATTCATGGGTACTTGAGACTTTTAGAGTACAATATTATATTTTATGCACACAGTGACATTTTTAAATATAACTTTTTTTGCCAAAAATGAATTTATCCTACTGTTATTATACTATAATGCCTAAATGTCTAATGTAAAGGAAATTAATTTAATCACAAATAATTCACAATATTTCGTAATAATTCTGTAGCCTGTAGGTACTAGGCCTTTGGGCGTGTATTTCAAAATAAACAAATAATATCATCAAAATTGCCTACTTATTAATATTATAGACTGATCGTTTTTCGTATACAAATATACTTATATACTATGATTATATTTTTATGATTAATTATTGAATTCAAGTTTAACACCATCCATTACAGTGACCCACTTGTAACCTACCACTGTACAGTATAGCGACACTCATGTACCCGCTTTTCTTTTTGCGTCTGTTCTGTATAAGTATTATTATTAAGTAAATTATTATAACTACCAGGGGTTGAAACTGAAAATATTTTTTTTCGATTTCGGTTTAAACCAGTATTCAAAATCGGTTTCAAGCCCTAGTCTATACACATGAGAAGTAGGTAGTAGAAAATTGCTTCGATTTTCAACTTTGTGAGTGGTTTCTAATAGCAAAATTAGTTGATACTTGTAACGTGAAAATAAAAAATCTTGAGTATTTTTCAAAATTGGGGAAAAGAATTAAGGTAATTCTAGAATTTTTATGCATAACCAGTTATATACAAAACCTTTTAGTATAAAAGAATGCCTGATGGAAAAATAACGCACAGGTATATTCTAAAAAATACTATACTTAAAACAATTAAATCTATAATAAATTGGAAATTTGTACCATATTTATTTATTATTTTAATCACTTAAATCTAGACAAAACAAGATTAAGTTAAATGTAGATGTATCGATAAGCTACAAAAGTATGCTACAAAAACGTCAACTTATATCCAAACTCAATAATATTACCATTTTTTTTTTTTCTTAACTGAATATGGTTTAAAGTAAAAAACATGTAATAAATCAAACATAACTACAGTACAAAAATATTTAAACTAATAATTAAAATGGAAGAATAGAATAGTTTGTCACAAACAAAAGTAATAATTAATATAATTATTGGATTTCATATATTTTTAATCGACAAAAATTTTTTTTTCTGTCGCTGCTACTTAGGAACTTGTTCGTATTTTAGCAGAACTATAATGTTGTGTTTGTGCGATCAAAAATGTTATAAACAGTATAAGAGATCAAACACATGCGCTCACTCTTTTTTTTTTTTTTTTTAATAACATCAAATATTTTCAATACTATGTAACTAGCATGGGAACTAGAGACAATAGAATTCATTTTGTTTAAGTTAAATATACGTTATAATAATATACTATATGAATGTAATAAACAAACTATAGAAATCCATAACTTTTCATGTAGTCATAAATTTTAAGTTATAATTTATAACACTTAATCCCTAATAAATAGTATCTAGTTTGTAATCTTCCAAATCTATATTCAAAAATTATTAAAATATCTCTAATATTTATCATCTCCTAACATGGTCCGTTAATGTCAAAAATAATCAAATTATTAATATTCACTTAGAATTTTCTTATCATAGTTTAAAGTTAATTTGAAAACTCTATACCTGAAATTAAACATTACGTCTTCTATAATATCAAACCATTTTAAATGCCATGGCGTTATAAAATTTAAAGATCTAAGATTATCGGGATATTGTAAATTAATTAAAGTCTATGTAAACATTCAAAGTATTACAAACACAAATATGTCTAATTGTATATTATGTTTGGATTGTGTTCAAAGCTGAACGATTGGCGCATGATTCCACAAAGATAAATTCTCAAAATGAGCTGGCACTGTCAGTAAGGCATCATCAGTTGAACGATTGACAGAGCAGTTCTGTAATATAATTTAATGATTAAATTAATATTGTTAAATAGAATTTAATGAATAAATAATCAATTTTCTTAGTAAGGTATTAAGAAAAAAGAATAAATATAAATATTTTTTGTTTTAATTTTATTATGTATACTTTTGGTTGCATTCGGTATGTGTCCACACATTCTATGTTCAGCTTTATAACTTCCATTTTACATTTGTATCCGCTTAAAGTCAACTTGATGATAGTGTGCAAAGGTACATTAATGTACGGTAATTCTTCTGCAAGATAAGTAAAATAAAAATAAGATGAATGAAGTAGTACAATACCAAATGTTTCAAACATTAAATTAAATTTTTGTTAAATAAATTAAATTACCGTGTTTCTTATTTAAGAAATATCCAAGTAAGCATCTTAAAACAGCTTGGTGACTGATTATTAACAGATTATCCATATCTCCCTCGAGTTCCAACAATACTGGTTTCAATCGTGTCATAATATCTATGTAAGACTCACCCCACGGATAGCGATACTGTAACTTATCTTGATCACGCCAAGCAAACTCTTGTGGAAATTTGCATTGCATCTCTTCATAACTCAATCCTTCACATACACCCTAATAGAACATTTAGCATAAGAGTTACTACAACAAAAACAAATGAAAAGAGTACTTACAGCGTATAACTCATTCAAAAAGGGCACTGGTTCTATTGGTGCTTTAATACCTTGAGCTGTTTGGTGGGTGCGTTTCAATTCACTTGTCCACACGCGTAGTCCTTCTAAACGATTCTCGTTATTAAAATAGCGTGCCAATGCTGCGGCATAAGTCCGACCACGGACTGACAATTCTGCATCTCCTCCAATACGACCCAAAACATTGTTTTCACTTTCTCCATGCTATAAATAAGTTATAAAGTTGTTATGTAAGTAAAAATAAAAATAAATATTATACTAGAATAATAGACCTACTCTTGAAAAATAAAATGTTTTTGCTAATGGTTTGAAATTTGAAACAAAGGCTAGCACCTCACTTTGCATAGGAGAATTCAAACGACAAACAGTTAGTGATTCTCCTAAATACAAATTTGAACATTAATTTATTAAGAACACATATTTTTTTTTTAGCTGATTGTTTTATATATTACCTGCGTTTAAATATTTTATGTAGCTATAGCCTTCTGATTTTGGTTTCATTGGTTCATGTTGTTCCATGTAATGTTCAATCTTGTGATGAAAATCATCAAGAGCTTTCTCACTGGACATATTTCTATAGTCTTTACTGAATTGCATTACTTCTTTGACATTGAGCTCAATAAGCATTTCATCATCACAAACACACTCAATAAATAATACCTTATACCCCATGACTTTAGCAAAATGATCGTATACTATTTGACGACGAGCTTGTGTTATATGAGTGCCATCCAATATCTAAAACATTTAATGAACATATAATTTGTAATTCTATACAATAACTATCACTTAGTACTTACAGCTACATCTCCTCCATCTTGTAACCATTTGGTGGCGTCATCTTGTGCTTCTTGAGCACTTAATTGACGGATTTCAGCAGCTTCACTGTTTTCTTTACGAAAGAGATCATGGCTACTATACAACTCGATGTGTTTACGTCTGTATGAGCTCACAGAAAACACTAGAAATAACACGTAAAAATAATCATTTATTTATTTGACACAAGTTTACACAACAAACACATAAACATCAAAGAGGTAATAAATTTCTAATATAAATTAGTGTTGATAAATAAAATCTGATATTAAGTATATAATTAACTCTTAATTGTTAAGATTACAAAGTCCGATAAGAAAACAAAAGTACACATTTTAACAACTTATCATAATTGTATGAACATAACTTATTTACATACGCTTAAATGATTACATTTTTTTATACAATATTATTTTGCAGTTCTTGTGCAATAAGGTAGTGTGCTGCAAAATTAAATAAAAGCTTTACTAAATGAAAATTGTCTTGTTAAACAAGGGAAAAGAAAAAAGAAAAAAAGAAGAAGATTCATATAGATTTTAAAGAATATTAAGCTTATTAAATTACAATAATTTTAAATTGAATATTGAAGACCTTAAGAGTCATGAGTACTGATTGGATATTTTTAACTTGGGAAATTGTGATTAGGTATGTAAACATAGGTAGTGTAAACACTTATAAGGTTTCAAAATAAACCAGAACATTAACAAGTTAATTGATTTTGCCATTGTGTCCTTCAATTATTTAGATTTATTCCAATTACCAAGTATTATTATACAATTCATATTTTATTTTTGCCAATAGAAAAATACTATTCATATTAGTTTGAAACAGGGACTGCGGAATACCAGGAGATTCCTGGACAACAAAATTGTTGGCTATAAAGGTCCCCACACACTGCAGCCGTGGCGTTAACTTCTATTGTCTTGGCTTCACCGCCAGAAATGTGTCCTACAGCAATTCACCGCCACCGCTGCAGTGTGTGGGGACCTTAATGCATTTTTTGTATAAAATATTCAATAATAATTTTTAACATTTTAACTTTGCATTGTAGGAATAAAACTAGACACTTTAATATTTTATTATGCCACAAATAGAGTCAAATGTTGAGAATTTAAAAAAGCTTCCATCATAACTCATTGCTATCTATTAAAATTAATATTGATAGGTATTGTTATAAAATGTTTAAGCTTAGTTTATTGTTCACTTGCCCCTCTTGAAAAACGTATAATATTATGTTAACTTAAAGATAAAATAAGAACAAAATATTGTTGGCTTTAGTTTTTAAACATTGTAAACACAATGTATAGTTATTACTTATTATTTATTGCTAGACATAATTAAATTAAATTTTTTTTTTAAATGTTATGCTGTATCTTAGACCCTCGCTTAGACCTTAGTGCTTATGTACTTATTACATTTACATACCTTTAGCCTTATGATTTGTCCAGTTGAGATATTGTTGAATCTTATAGGCAAGAATGGTTTTGCCACGTGCTGGCAAACCTACCATTGTTATAACCAAGGGCACAAAATGTTGGCCGACTGAAAAATTATACATACAAATGTTAATACCGGGCAATATATACAAAACTAAAACTACAGGTAATAGAAAAACATAAAAGGTACCATTTGGCCAGGTATTCTCAATAATTTATTGGCCAATGTTCAGCAAATCACTTGAAAATAGATTTTTTGGCCAGTCAACACATCATTAAATACTTAATAAATAAGACTTACTTATAAGTAATAACCATGTTGACTTATTTTACATTTAAAAAAATGAAAAAATTAACGGTTCCTTATATAATTTTAAAATATGAATGTTTATGTTTTAATATTATTAGTTATCTCAAACATATTAAAAATGAAAATTGAAACACTATTATAAACCTTATCCATCAGATATAATTAAGTGTGATCATTCAATGCAAGCTACTTATGGGAGAAATTATTTGGGTACACAGATGATGATACAATAAATGTTGATATTTCCAAAAATTTCATTAAATATGAGAGCGGATAAACTCAACACCAAAAATAACTATTGTTAATGTAATATTAAGATTTCTTTAAACCACACGGTAATAAATATTGTAATTATTGGAGTCTGGCCAAATGTAAAAGCATTTTACTTTATCAACAAAATACTTTTTTAGCCACCCACACGGCCTCAAGCCCACAGCCACATATAATACATAGGTACCTATTTAAAAAATATAGCATAAATAAAATAGTTTTAAAATAAACAGAACTTGTTGTTTAAATATCTAATGCCTAGGCAGTGGTAGTCTATATTAATTCAAATTAGGTACATTTTATGTACCTACATTGATGAAGTGAATCTTTGGACTTTTATAAGTTTAGAACTAGATATCTATATTATGTACTGTTAAAAGAATAGGTATGTGGAAATTTGTTTTCACCTTGGGACATTACTAGCGGCATCAAATCTTTCTTTCCAACCATGTCGTCATCCTCGGATTCGGACTGTGACTGACGTTGCCAGTCCTTTTTAGTGGGTCGCATCATGATAGTTGGTGCCATGATGTCGGAGTTGTCACGGACACACCAAAAACAGGACTCGCACGCTCACACCAATAATAACTATTCTATACTGCTAGCGGTGTGTGAGACTAGAGCACGGCGATGGCGTCTAGCTCTGAAAAGTGGTCTGAAGATGTGTGATAGATGAGCTTTTGCAGGTCTGGCCTCATGCCACCAATGGATCTTCTGCGAACGACGTAGTCCACTTTGCTGGCCAGTGTGATGGTGCAGAAGAAATTTGTCGCGTCCACTTTGACCACCGGTGTATTGAAGCGTGGACGAATGCTATTGGCTACCGGATGTCTGTGGATTCGTCCGTGAACCCTTACGCAACGTGTGCTAATCTGTGTAGCGAGCGGCGCTACGTGTGCAAAGGTAGAATGCCGAACGGGAAAAAGAACAAGCTGGTGTTAGGAGTAGGGGTAAAGCAGGGGTAAACGGAGCGGCGTCGGAACCAGATCAAAGTACACCGTTAAGGCAAGTGCGTTAAGATAACAATAATAATATTATTATTCAGCCCTTGAGCTGTAGCACACGCGAAATGAGATTGACGTCGGCGGATTTCAGACGGCAACAGAAATACAAATGCATTGTCGACAGGTGCGAAAGGTAGGACGAAAAATAAGTTGTATGCACGCGTAAAACAAATTAATAATGTGTTCTTTTTTAATCACCGAAACTATAGCGAAACAATAAGAACAATAAATGATAAATAACAAAAATAACCACTATATTCTATCCTACGTCCACACGACACACTCGGAAGACGAACGACTGAACACTGTCGAGTGTCGACTGTGACTGTCCGCAGTCCACAGATGAGGAACGAGGATTGAGGGGGGCACTACTAAAAAGTGGCGTGACCGTGCGCCTGCGCAAAACTATTATACGACCGAGCTAGACACACTCTCTGACTCTCGTGAAATCGTGAGACGGATCGGCGCGTGGCGAACGGTGCGGATGCGACATCGGCGACGTACTGTGGCTGACGGTGATACAGTGTGTTACTGCGGTCGGCAAGGTCCGAGAGAGAGAGAGAGAGAGAGATACGACGTGCCTAAATTATAATTGCCTAGCCCTAGCGCGTTACTGGCCGTAAAATCACAGTAATCGATAGCAATCCGTCCGGGTCGCGACGGAGCCGGCGCGTAACGTAATATGATGTGAAAAAAGGTCGTCCGGACCGAGTGCAGTGGGGATGGGCAGCGCCACGCGCGCGCACTGCCGCATACCCTTAACCCGTCCCAGACCGTGTGGTGACGAAAGAGGTGAAAAGAGTCGGGCAGTGGCGGGCTGCTGCGCAGCGGCCGTCGCGCTGTAGACCTCAAATTTCTTGCGATGTTGTTGTTGTTGTTGTTGTTGACCTGTTACCGCGTACTAGTCCAATACTACCACTACAACAGCTATAATACTACGCAGTCTCGAATATTTTATTTCTAACGCACAACGGTAGGCAGCCCTTCATCGAGGGCTTGGACGTTTTTACGTCGTAGTTTCACACCGTCGGTCAAGGTCGTGTCCCATTCATCCCCTCGCGCCGCCACGGACATTTCATTATTTGTTATCCCCCATAGTCCATACACGTGGACCAATATATTTGTTTTAGATTTTAATTGGGGGGGAGAGGGGGCTAATAACGGCAATTTGACCACACGAATTTGAAACTACAATAATATTGTATTGTTATAAATTATATATACAAGCAAAAAGTGTTAAAAATAAAGTGCTGCAATCTGATTTCTTCTCGCTATAGATATTTTATATTATGTACCTCCATATATGAATATCGTATATATACGATATGTCGATATGCCGATATGGTATGTCTATAGAGTGTAGACTATAATATTCATAATATATTTGTGAAATCTATGTATCTACTAAGTAGTAAGTAGGTAGGTAGTACTGTAGTAGGTACTAACTAGTAGTCACTACCTACTCACAAGTCACTCCCTGACTCCCATTCCCAAACCAATTACCAAGGATATAATACCTTATATAAGATACCTATTATACATATTAATATTTATTAGTGTGGGTTTATTTTTCCCAATCAAACGTTAAAGACTCATATTGAATTTAGTAGGTACCTATATATCGTATAATATAATACTTTATAAGTCATAAGTCATAAGTGTATACCTAAAACCTATCATATTATTACTTATATTACCATATTACGTAACACTAATATTATTATAAAAGGAATGATATCTAAATATATTAACACAAATAAATAAGAGTTCACCGACTTCACCGAGTAGTTAACACTTAAATGTTAAACTTAACTGCCTGCCCCGAGTACCTGAATGCTCCTTGATACCATGCACAATCTCATGCTTACTGCTTAGATGCATCATGCATACTGGCATACTGCTATAATAGTAGGCCAGTATACTAATATTCAGTACCTACGGTATAATATATTGTATATAATATTATGTAGGTACATTATACTTATGCTGCAGTGAGGGCCGGCCCTAGGGTAGGTCAACTGGGACATTTGTTCTGGGCCCCACGCGAATTTTAGGGCCCCGTGCGCTTACGTCATGAAAACTAGGTTTTAGCTAATACATGTAGATCACTGGGCCTCACTGAGAAGTCTCGTGTGGAGTCAAAAATATATAACAATTATTAACTAGACTGCAATACATATTAAATATATCTGGGGAGGGGAAGTATAATAAATATATAATGAAAACATAGGAAAATATAAACAAATATATTATGTACCTATTTAAAAAAAAAAACATGGACAATATTATTTTGTCGGGGACCCCGCAAAAATTAGGGGCGGACCTGGCTGCAGTATCCGTCAGGATTCTCGTTGCCCATGGCCGTGGCCATCAATATAAAAATACAAAATTAGTCAAAATATTGTATGAAGATCAGTGACTAGTGACCTATATTTTAACAGAGCATAATAATATGTTGATTTATTACGTCGATATGTTATTTGAAATTTCGAACTGATTTTTATACCTACCTACTTTGTTTCATATATCGGCTAGAATTTTGGTATTTACCTATCATCACGTCTTGTTACGAAGTGTTTACCGTTTTAGTAATCTGAAATAGATACTGAAATAGCGAAATATCACTTTGAACATAATACAGAAGTTTATGACAAAATATGAATTATAACGTATTACATTGATTGTGCTTTACTCATAAATTACACTTATAAACCAGGAAGCTCATGCTCATTGAATGTAGAGTATTGTAGAGTGTGCTTTTCCTTAGGTACTTGTTGTATATTTATATAATATAATACAATAAAACTCGCATAAGACGCTCCCCCGCATAAGACGCTATTTTCCGTCGGTTCCTATATCATCTATCTCCCTATTTCATTCCCACATAAGACGATTTCCCACTTAAAACGTTCTAGAGAGCTGGTCCCTTAAAGAGCGTCTTAAGCGAGTTTTACAGTAAAAAATATATATATATGTACAACACTACAACAATTATTTTATTAATACCTATATAGTGAACACTGAGTATAGGTACCATTGTAATGACTGTACAAACTTCCTTTTTTGAATCGGCACCAAATCATTACCTCATTATGACTCTGAATAATGGTTTTCAACTATTGTATGGATTTAGGACACGCATTTAACTTCCTGTTTGCTGAAACTGCTGCTCCCTAAATGACAAAATTTAAATATATTATAGTATTATCAGTGGCGTATCCTGCAGGGGAATGTTTTGAATGTTGAAACAAGTAACAACCCCTCCGGTCATCAGCTGTATCATATATAATATGTACCAGATTTATACACAATATGTTGTCATGTATAATATGGTTCTATACTTTTATTTCATATTTTATATTATTAATGTGAAGATTGATGACTACAATGGTGAGTGTGAAAATCCTCTTATATGTTATATTTAAAAATAAAACTACCCCCCCTACTTTTTTTTTTTTTCAGTTTTGAACCGACGGCGTCGCGGGAACTGCTTCCGCATTACTTCCGCGACGCCGCCATCGTTTATTAAATTTAATAATACATTAGTAGTACATTTATAATTTATTTTTTACATCTTTTGTTTAGTCCCTTAGTGGGTGCACATTGAAACTAATATTCATACATTTTATTAATAAAAAGATTACATTGTTGGCTTAAGGCCCGCTGTTCGCATTTCTTGACTTCCCGACCCGGCTTTGGTGCCCGCCAGTCGGAAAGTCATGTTCATATGTTCTTGGCCCGGCTTGATAGCCAGCCGGCCTCGAGACTCGTACTGAGATTCCTTCTCCTTGTGGTGTTCTGGAGGGTGCTCCTCGCTGTTGTTGGTTTCCCAGTTTTCCTTCTGTCTCCGTCGTTGTGTTCTGTCGTCGTTCCGGGATCCGATTGAATCGCTGCGTCGCGTGGTGTCTGCGTCTGCAGCCCCTACTTCCTCAGCCACCCTGACGATGACTAGTCGTGCTGTGGGTGTTCTACTCCTGCGCAGCGGGCCCTCGAACCACTGTCGGCAGTTTCGCTGAGTTTTCGGGGTGTAGAGAGTTACACCGTTGTTCTGCTGCTTTCCGCTCGTCTCCCGGAATCCGTCCTCGGCTGTTGTTGACCGCCGGTGTGGGTTTGTTCAGTTTTCCTTCTGGTAACTCCGTTCGTTCTGTAGTCGTGCTGCTCGGTGCTTGGATGACCGGTCGGCGGATTCTTGAGGCGTTCTGACTAGCGGCCTTTCCCATCAATCGCGATCAACCGGACGGTGACGAATCGTGCTGTGGGCGTCCTACTAATGCCCCGGGGCACGCCTGCCGCTGTGGGGCAGTTTCGGATGATGGTACTGAGCCGCTTAGTTTACTAACCGCTGGGTCCCCGTCTAACCTTCCCGGTCGTCTGTGAATCGAGCCTTCGGTCCGTGTTGTCGGTAGTTGGAGGGCGATGTTGGCCCTCTCTGGTCGCTGGTGTTGACCCGCCGGTGTTCGGTTTTATACAGTTTGCCTTCTGTGCCTCCCCCGTTGGCCGGAACCGGAATTCCGTTTCCAGTCG